CCTTGACTAATCATTTCTTCCCCAATTATGGCATGTTCCGCTAAAACAAACTTGTTCCCAGGACACCAGTAATGCCAGTCCGGGCAAAAAAAAAAAAAAGTGGAAGTATGAGTAGAAATACTTTTCATACTTTTTTGCTGCTCAAATTTCAATTGTTCTATAAGTAGTTAAAATGGCTTACTTTTTTCATATCCACTGTTTCCAGTTTTACTCATTCAAAGGAATTTTGAAAGTATTAATTTCTCAAATATGTTTTTACCATTGAATTTTTATTTTAGATTATCAGTTTTATCAAGTATGTGTCTTTAATATTATCTTTGATAATTTTAGGTCCCACACTGGGTAGAAATGACTCATTTGTCTGTGCTGTAACTCATCCCATGACTGATGTTGGCCCTCATGGTTCTGAATCAAATATTGTGTGGATATGATGTTCCTTTATGCTACTGTGCGTGATCCCAGGTGGATCTCAGATTCTGGTACTGCACCATTCATAGTATTCCAGGTATAGTGTTCTATCACAGCAGGGAATCATCATAATGTTCTTGAGGAAACTCTACTACTAGAACTGCATGCTGGCACACTATCCTGACTGTTGCATTTCCTGCAGGCACAATCACTGAACCTCTCCCCTGCTTTAGTTCTAACATTTTAAATAAGTTGAGTCTCTTTTCAACATAGAACATGTCCTCCCATATGAGCAGTGCCTGTTAAACTCCCACTTGTTCACGTATTATCTTTCTATTTTTATTCCCCAATAGAGCTCCCAGAGTCACTGGCTATCTGTGTGATTTTGAGGAGATGAAGGACCATCTATAAGAAGCTTGGTCTTCTACAAGTGGGGCTAAACATTATATTTCTAAAGACTCATTGAGCTCACAGAATTTATTGGAATTACAAAAAATCACTGTAGTTTTAAAAGATATTTCTTGTTATTCAGGTGTTGTAAGCACAATTAAGCCAAAATTCTATCCTCAATCCATGCATACCTCACATTTCCCTGAGGTTGATAAAGATAGATTTAATTAAATATGGAGTTATAAATTTAATTTTACATCTCAGTTACTCACAACTACTAAATATGGAAAGGCAGGAAAAATATTGTCTATGCAATTTCAAAATCTTGAATACATTGAAAATGATCCAGTATCAAACAACATATAATTTATTTAGAAATTGAAAATGAAAAAGGAGGAGTAGTGTTTGGTGGAGTTATTCTATTAATACTATATGACCAAAGCTTGTAGAGACCTTATGTTTGAGTTCACATCTTCACTGATCAATGAGAAGCACATTCAGCTCAGTACCAGAATGGCAAACTCAGACTGGTAAAGGGGGTTGGCCATGTAAGAACTGGTCATACATGTTGGGAAGAGAGTTTGAGTCAGGCAGACCTTTAATATATCTCAAGTATTATTTTCTGATCTAGTACACAATTAGCCTGTTGCCTGAAGGCATTTTTGAGGGGATCATTTCCAGGGCAGAATGGGCTAATGGTTCTCATTACCATGAATACTCATAGACAACCACCTCCTAGCAAAGGACAGGTAAAAAGAAGAGCTCTGAGAGTGCCATTAATCCTTCAGAGCCAGTCATGGTTTTTAGACTACCACTATCCACTATCAGCCCAAGAAACAGTCTTCTTGGAGGTGTAACATGGCCTTTTCTTCATTATATTAGGTAGCAACAACTATTGAACAAGAGATGAAATTTATCTACCACCAAAGTTACTGAAAGTATGGTTCAACCTAAGAAAGAGACATAAAAATGACATTAAAGAAGATGTATTATTATATGTTTTGTTGCTGTACTTTAAAAACTGCAAGCTCTCTCCATTTCACTTAGATCTGAAAACCTATCTATGTACTCTCTCCAACTATGTAGATATGAGCTCTTTGAAAGTATGCTACATTTCCATTTCTATTGGTGTCCCAAATGCTTAGCCCAGGTTCTTGTGTAGAATAAATATTTAAATATTTTTTTTCATAAATTCATCTAAATTGATTTTAGTGTCTCAATATCTTTTCTGGGAACTGGTCTTTCCTTTTTCCAGTACACTTTGAATCTAGAAATTCTGGAGTCCCTAGTGGCCTAACCCTGTCCTTTTCCAGTGTTTTGAAACTATGTTTCTTCCCACTCTTTAACCAATGACACTGATCTACTAGCTGATTTGTAAACAGGACATTCCATCTCTCAGCTCCGGTCATTCTCTCACCAATTCCCCCTTGCCTAGAACATTCTTCTCTTTTCTGCATACTGACTTCCTTTAGATTTCAACTAAAATTCTACCATCTATAGGAAGCCTTACTTAACCCCTTTTAATTCAAGTGTTTTCACTCTGATAATTATTTCATATTTATCATATATGTAGCTTGCTTTGTATATATGTTTTGCATATTGTCTCCTCCATTAGATTTCACCTCCTTGAGGACAGAGATTGTTTACCTGAGTATTTGGCACATAGTAGGGGCTTATTAAATATTTATTGATCAATTAGTGACTTAATATAGACTTCTACAGACAGGAATATTTTTGATTTCTCTTTGATTAAATTTAGATCCTACTCCTTCCCATCAGCAATTCACTTCCCATTTATTTTCACTGTGACTTTCACCATTGGTTCAAATATGGTACAACTCTGACCTCTATATTTCTGTGCATGTATCATATTGGCTGATCAAGGGGATGAGCATTAGAGTAATTTTTAAGGCAATGGGTATTTGATGATGATGGTGGTGAAATTCATGGAAAAGAAGTGGAAAAAGAAAAGAAGGAGCCCTGAAGATGATAAATAATGATGTGATTATGATAATGATGATGAGTATAATGAGTAATTAGATTTACCTCAATTAAGAAGCAACCTAAAGTATAGAATGTTGAATTTATAATCTGGAATTCTTTATTCCTACCTTGTATCAAATGTTTATAGACTTGAGGATTTCAACACTCTATTTAATATATGCTGAGTTTCAAATTTTTCATCTCTAAAATGAGGTAAAATATCTATTATACCTTCGTCATAAGGTTCTTGTGAATTTTCAATGAACTAATATTTAGTAATTCTATCTACAAATATCTGGTATTATTTACATATTTTTGTTCTGAGACCTGTCTTAAAATGTGTATAAAGAAAGCACTTTAAAATTATTCTCACAACTCTGAAATAATTTAAGAAGAACCATTAGAGAATTAAGACACCACACACGAAAACAAAACCTCCCCTAAGACCACTTTACCACTGTAAGGATGCCAATGGGAGAGATTTTTCTTCAAATCTATTTTAAGCCACAGGACTTAAGGGCAGGTTGGAATGGATTACTTTTTGGAAACAGTTATCAGGTAAGATTTTTGTTTCAATAGAAATACAAACAAAGCTGGAGAACCATGAAGGTTATTATGGAAAGTCTATACTTTCATATATTGTAGTAATGAAATGCTTATTAGTGAAATAATTTTATTTTCCTAACTGACCAAGGGGAAATCCTGATTTGCAACTTTTGTGTGCTATACCAGTCCTGAAAAGAAGCACACTGCTAAGAAAAAGACAGTGGTCAGCATTTTATTTTAAACTCATTTCTCACCAAAATGCCTAGACAATTTCATGGTGCTTTCCTTCATCATGAATTCCAATATTCAATACAATATTTCAATTTCCATACATAGATATTGAATCAAAACTAATCCCCAAGTCCTTTGTCATTGAAGAAAATTGGAGAAAAGACTGTTATGCTGACTATTATAGAACCGTATGTCTCTGTCTGGGGTAGAACTTGGAAGAACCAGAAAGAGAAAATCAGAAACCACTAGATCTATCAAGAAGGTACATTCTTACTTAATCAGTTCTTTAAGATCACTGGCATTTTTGTTTCTAGCTTGTTTTTCCATGCAAGCTAAGAAACTTCTCCTAGTAATTGCTAAATTTAATCTGCCTTAATATGAGTTTTAAAAAATAAAGGAACTCATGTGGCACAATTCTAAATGCTTATATTTGATTTGGTTTTTAGATAAAAGCTTCACAAAGGAACAATGGGAAATATGTTTTGTAGGCATTCTTTTTAAGAAAACTTGGTGTTATTAGTGTAGTTCAACTTGAATATGAGTCAAATATAATTTACATTATCTAAAGAAGGTAATATGATATTTATTAAGATAGACAGGTCATACTGGCATAGACCATGAAAGGCCAGCTGCATTTTGTCTTTACCAAACCACATTTGGACCATTATGTCCAATATCAGAGCACAATGTTCAGAATAGAAATTGATAATTTCCAAAATAAGTAGAAAAAAGAAACAAAAATATTTGAAAAACAATTAAGTCATTATGTGAAGATGTGTGGCGAATAGTATGTTGTTATCAAAAAGAATAGCTTCATGGCTTCATAAATTTTTAACCGGAATGCTGCTTAAAATTTATGTCATTAAACTACCACATTTTATACATGAGTGTAAGTCAGAGACAATAAACTTACACCTCATAATAATGCAAGTCACATGTAACAGACCTGTTATTTAAAGCCATGTTCTCTAATGGTACTGAATGGCCTGAAAAATCTCAATTTATTTTAAGTTTTAGAAACTAAAATTTTCACTAAGTTTTTTGTGACACCCAGTATAACCCAATGTTCTTTCCATTGTAGAACAAAAATGAAAGATCTGGGCCTGCAGGCTGAGAAAGCAATGGAAGTTTTCTTTGAGAATTTGAATAATCATTATTTTAAAAGGTAAGGAACATGTTCTGCTTCACAGAGAAAACCAAGACCAATGACCAGAAGACATAGATGAGGAATTGAGATTATAAAAAGTGTACACATTAACAGTAACATTTATTCAAAAGGAGATCAGCTGCTGTGGTGGGTAATGTTGATCTCATATACATGCTGTTTCCCTTAATAAAATGTAAGTGCATTGATGGCAAGAACTATTTGTTTGATATTTTTCTATGTATACCCAATACCTGTACTTGGCACATGCATTTTCTAAATACTTTTTAATTGATTTTCAGACTGAAGAAAAATCCTACCAAAATTAAGATGTATACTAGTGCAGTAGATAATAAAAATGGGTTGGTTTTATAAGGATATTTTGTACTAAATTCTCTAGTAACTCCCTTCAATCAATTGATTCACCAAACTAAGATTTACTGATGGTTCTCAAACAAATGAACAAACAAAAATTATCCCTTGACTTAATATTAAGAGATTTTTTTTCTAAATAAAGAGAGGGAAATTGGGGAGAAGTTGACAAAGAAATCTAGCAGAAACTTGCTTCTAATAATACAATAGGAAGAAAACAATCTTTACATTGGTCTTAAAAGTGAATGCTTTCTTAATTTTTTAAAGAGTCTTTTCAAAGCACTTTTCACCTCTTTGTTCCTCAAGCTGTAGATCAAAGGGTTGAGCATGGGGATAACCAGAGTGTAAAACACAGAGGCCATCTTGTCTGTGTCAAAGGAATGGCTAGATTGGGGCTGCAGGTACATGAAGAGAAGTGACCCATAGAATATAACCACCCCTGTGAGGTGAGAGCCACAAGTGGAGAAGGCTTTGTGCCTTCCCTCAGCAGAGTTCATCCTGATGATGGCCATAAGAATGAGCATGTAGGAGACAAGGATAATCAAGAGGGAAGAAACCAAACTAATTGAAGCAAAGATCATAATGATTAGTTCACTCTCACTTGTGTCTGAGCATGCAATTGTTAATAGAGGGAGACTGTCACAGTAGAAATGTCTTATTATATTTGATTCGCAGAAAGATGATTCAAAAATCTCAGTTGTAATTACCAGACATACCATGATGCTATAGAGGTATGAGATAGACACCAAGATCCAACATAGCCTTTCTGACATGATGACCATATAGAGGAGTGGCTTACAGATAGCCACATAACGATCATAGGCCATGGTTGACAGGATAAAAAGTTCACTGTCAATAAATACCCCAACAAAAAATAGCTGTACTGCACATTGATGATAGGAAATGATATTTTTCTCCTCTATGAAATTAACCAGCATTTTTGGCCCAATAGCTGAGGAATAGCCAAAATCAACAAATGCCAGATTCCTAAGAAAAAAGTACATGGGGGTTTGGAGGTGAGAATCCACACTTGTTAGGGTGATCAGGCCCAGGTTTCCCACAGCTGTGGCCATGTAGTTGAGGGAAAACACTACAAAGAGGGGCCCTTGTAACACAGTTTGGTTTGTGATGCCCATGAGAATGAATTCAGTCACCTTGCTCCCTGTGGTTTCATTCATATTGATCCTTTCTTTCATCCAACAAACACAATCTGAGAATAAAAGAAATAAACCTTTCCTGAGTACTGTTTGCAGCAATGATTAGGCATTTATTTTGCAAAAAAAAAATGTTTTGGGTAAAATGATCAGGCACTTTCCCACCCAATTACCATTTTATTTTATCATTGTCAGTGGGATCATGTCATATGATTTCATATCATAGCATTGCATATTATATTATATCATTTCATACAACATTGTGTTACCAAGAAGAAAGAGAATGTGGTTTTATTTACAAAATAAAGAGTTGATTATAAAACTACTTATCCTCAAGAGAAGGCACAAGATAATATCATAAATAAGTTTTAAAATATTTAACTAATCATTGATCAAATAATTACAATGGAATCCTGATGGACAACAGTGCATATAAAAACACCTCATGTTTTTACATCTGTGCTAAAACAGATATCATATTGTCTTTGAGGTTAAGAAGACATGGGCTAAAAAATATTCACCACTTTTTCAAGTAACATTTTGCTGGTCATGTAAAATCCTGGTATTGGCACAATTGTCTATGACTTTCAGTTGTAAAGTGATGGTCCATGACAAGAAATGGAATCTCCTTTTGAGGAGGACCATTAACCAGTGAAGAGAAAGGTTTGGGGTCTATTACAGTCCTTCTCTCTTGCACTTATTAATTGTATGACATCCAGAGAGACTCCATATATGCACTCACTCTCTGTACTCCCCCATTTCTTTGCCCTAGAAGAGAGAAAATATTTTTCTACCTAGATTATGGAGGTGAACTAAGCATAATTTTCTTCCTGTTTTTAATGATATTCTTTGCCAGAGACAGGAAAGGACCCTATTAAAAAAAGAAAATATTTGTTCTTCAGATAAAGTCTTGTTGCATAGCATTGATCTCAAAGACCACTGTGATCCCATTTATTAATGGTGATCAATGTAACTTGACAAAAGCTCTTTGATATGCCTGATGGCAGAAAGCTTCTTTGACAATTGTCATGGCTAGTAACTTTCATTTGATAGCATTCCTATGATGGCTTTTGCCATTGAAATTTGAGTAAATTTGCCATTTGGCTCCTAATTGTCCCATCCACCTGCACAGTGGTGATAGGGAATGATTTTTGGAACTCAGCTGCTCAGATTCCATATTTTTGACACTTAGTGCAATGAGAAGATCACAAAGAATAATTTTACCTGCTTATCTGGAAGGAAAAATCTTCTGTGGCTTGTTCATGTTATCTGTGCATAGAGTGAGACTTTATGTTATTTTTTCAGTACCCATGAGGACATGTCTCTGAAGAACTGGGGAAGATTACTACATTTCATATGATCATATCATGGCAATTGCCCAGTAATTATAATTGACAATGTTCACTGGTTTACGTAATTTTAGGAAGCATTTATGAAACAATTATCCTGTTCCAAACTTCTGTTTGTGGGTAATATACCTGATTGCATCAAGCGCAAGAATATTTCACAGGCTTGTGAAAGAGGTCTGTAGCCAGCAGAATAGGTTAGTTTAATCATCCATATGTTAAAAGCCAAGTAGATGAAAAAAATCTAGTACTCAGAATATAATATAAAGGTGAATGGTTAAGAAAAAGAGTTTTTCTTTTTGGATGCATATTTATGATTGATGGGTACAAATGAACTTAATGATGGACACCAAAAACAACCAGGGAAAGGTGAGGAGGATGAATTGCCTTTAGAGAATTAAAAGATATATTTAGAAAGAACTAGGTAGTGCAGTGGCTAGAGCTCTGTGTGCAGTTTGGGAGAAGTGATTTCTAATCTACCCTCATATACTAGTTCTGACTTTTGATGAGGAAATTAACCTCTTCATGTCTATTTTTTTCTTCTAATAAAATAAGACTAATAATTACATTGTTGTAATTATCAAATGAAATTTTTAATAGGTAGTCAATGAATCCAGTGGCTATGTCTCTTGGTCTGGAGTCAGAAAGAGCTGATTTCAAAAGTTGTCTCACAAATGTAGGAGTAGTGTGAACCTTGTCAAGTAACTTATTTTCAGTTTGCTTCAGTTGCTTAAATTTTCAAATGAAAATAACACTTCATGGGGGATTGTTTTGAGGATCAAAAAATATATTATTTGTAAAATATTTAGCACAGAAGCTTGCCTATATTAGGCACTAAATACATGTGTGTCTACTTTTAAATGACTTCAGTCTTTTTCTGAAAGAGGCCTAATTTTTTTATTTTTCAAAACTTCTAAAAAATTTTTTTTATTTTTAGTTCAAAATTTTTTGCTGCTTTTAGCCCCACCCCCACCTAACTCACTGAAAAAGCAAACAGGATGATATTGTTATGACCATGAAGATATGGAAAATGTATTTCCAGCTTCACCACATTGCAATATATTTATGGAGACAAACAAATGGAAAAAATAATGGTATTCTTCAATCTGCACTCAATGTTTATCAATTCCCTCTCTGGAGATGTGCAGTATTTTCCATGTGAGTCCTTTGGAATTGTCATGGATCATACTATTGATCAGATTATCTTTTTTTTTACAGTTTTTTGCCATTAAGATGTTGCTATTACCATGTACAATGTTTTCCTGGTTCTGCTCACTTAATTTTGCATCAGTTCCTATAAATCTCCACCAGCTTTTTCTGAAACTACCCATATGATCATTGGGTAAGATCAGTTATAAGCCCTTTTGTTATAGCATATCTATATCTATATCTATATCCATATTTATAACTATATCTATATCTATATATCTATATATGAATATTTTGTATATTATATATGCATATGTGTATATGTATATGTATATATACATATACATGGCATGAGATAGTCCTCCCTGAGAAGACCTATGTTCCTCTATAGACACTTGTTCTTTATGAATGGAGGCATAGTGTAGTACACAATTCCTATAGTGTAGGTGCAGCTGTCAATAAATTAATACCTTGAGCATTTAGTAAATTTTTGTGTATGGAGGGGTTACTGGGCCATTTAGATTTGGGAAAAATAAAGCCCCTAGTGATTTTAGATGCCAAAAATACTACATGAAACAATGTGGATTCATTTTATGCAAAATTTTATTGACAAGTGATTGGGAAGACTGGGACAGGAGAAAGAGGAAAGGAGAAGGGAGAACTTTAATATAATTCAAAAATATAAATTAACATAGATCATGATATGTTGGAAAACAGAAAGAAATGAGTCAATTCAGCTTTGAAGGTTTTCTTCTGGATGTGATGGAATGCTCCAAAATGACCTTCTGAATGTGTGATACTTAACTAGTGATTTTGCTATCCATCTGAAGTTGGCCAATATGCATATCAAGATTTGGGACACACAGTGGATTGTTGGAGAGCACAGCAGCAGAGAGGAAAGAGAAGTTGATGGTTGTTAAGGTATTATTTGGGGGCACACAGCTGTACTAACCTTAAAAATATTATTGAGGTACTTGTCCATTGTTAGTTTCTTTAAACTAAAAATATGGTTGAAGGAAGACTATCACAGAGGTCTCAAGATCACCAAGCCTAATATTCTAACAGTATAATTCCAAGTCAGTCTTCAAAATGGTTGGAGCAATTCACAACTCTACATAACAGTGAATTAATGTGCCTATTTTCCCACATTCTCTCCCAAATTGGTCATTTTCTTTTTCTTTCAAAATAACCAATTTGACATACATTAGTTGGTAATTCAGAGTTGTTTTAATCAGCATATTTTTTCCATGACCATGATTGGTTTTGATTTCCTCATCTGAAAATTGCCCACACCTATCTTTTGACTGTTAATCAATTGAGGGGAGGCTTATATTTTTATAAATTTATAAATTTGTATACATGTATATATATATATATATATATATATATATATTTGAGAACTGAGACTTTAATCAGAAAAACTTGCCCTAAAAGTTTCTTTTTATTGCCTTCCATCTAATGTTAGTGCATTGGTTTTGTTTGTTTAAAAACTTTTTTTTAATTTTATGTAATCAAGATTACACATTTTATTTTCTGTGATCTTCTCTATATCCACTTTGATTCAGAAACTTTATTTTATCCATATATTTGACAAGTAATTTTCCCATGCTTCCTTAATTTTCTGATGATGTTGTCCTTTATGACTAAAACATGAACCAATTTTGAACTTATATTTGTATGTGGTGTGAGTTGTTGATCTAAGCTTATTTTCTGCCAAACTACTTTTTTATTTTTCTCAGCAATTGTTGAAAATGATGAGTTCTTGCTCCCAAAGCTTAGATGTTTGAGTTTTCTTAATAATAGATTACTATGCTCAGATACTGGTGTGTACAGTGTACCTAATTCATACCACTGGTGCACCATTCTATTTCTTAGCCAGTCTCAGATTATTTTGATGATTACTGCTGTGTTAATATAGTTTGAAGTTTTGTACTGCTAGGCTATCATTCTTCACTTCTTTATTGATTCCACTGATATCCTTGACCTTATGTTTTTCTAGAAGAATTTTTATTATTTGTTATCTCTATTAAAACAAAACAAAACAAACAACTTCCTTTTGTGTTTGAATTTTTTTCTTTTTTCTTTTCTTTTTTGTTTTTGGTGAGGCAATTGGGGTTAAGTGACTTGTCCAAGATCACACAGCTTGCATGTGTCAAGTGTTTGGTCTGAAGTTGGATTTGAACTCAGGACCTCCTGATTTCATGGGCGGTGCTCTATCCACTGAACCACCTACCTGACCCTCTATTTCAATTTCTAAATAATTTTAGCCAGAATTTTGATTTTTATTCCTTTTGCTCTGGCAGCTCATGAGCCATTAATATCTCTACAGTTGTTTAGATCTGTATTTTGTGAAAAGTGCCATCTCTTTAGCAACAGATAGGTTGCACAGTGGATGAGCACTGAGACTAGAGTCAGAAAAACATGAGTTCAAATCCAATCTCATTCACTGACTAGCTTTGTGACCCTGGTCAAGTAATTTAATCCAGT